AGATTAATAAAACAATAGATTAAAAGTATAATAACCTTGATCAAGTGGGATTTATTCCAGGGATGCTTCAACTTCCACAAATCAATCAACGTGATACATCACTATAACAAAGTGAAGGATAAAAACCATGATCTCATTTCATAGATGCAGAAAAAGCATTTGAAAAGATTCAACACCCATTTATGATAGAAACTCTCAATAAAGTTAGTATAGAAGGAATGTACCTCAACATAATAAAGGCCATATATGACAAACCCACAGCTAACATCATACCCAATGGTGAAAAACTGAAAGCTATCCCCCTAAAGTCACGAACAAGACAAGGATATGCACTCTCACCATTCTTATTCAACATAATACTGGAAGTTTTAACTAGAGCAATCATTCAAGAAAAATAAGTAAAAAGTATCCAAATTGAAAAGGAAGAAGTAAAATTGTCACTATTTGCAGATGATATGATTTTAGATATAGAAAACCCTAAAGAATCCACAAAAAAAATTATTAGAAATAATAAATGAGTAAAGTTCCAGGGTACAAAATCAACATACAAAAATCGGTTGGGTTTCTATACACTAATAATGAGTTAGCAGAAAGAGAAATTAAGAAAATTCTATTTACAACTGCATCAAAAAGAATAAAGCACCCAGAAATAAATTTAACCAAGGAGGTGAAAGACCTGAAAACTCTAAGACATTGTTGAAAGAAACTGAAGACACAAATAAATGGAAAGATATTCCATGCTCATGGACTGAAAGAATTAACATTGTTAAAATGTCCATATTACCTAAAGCAATCTACAGGTTCAACGCAATCCCCATCAAAGTCCCAAAGACATTGTTCACAGAAGTAAAACAAAAAATTCTAAAATGTATATGGAACCACAAAAGACCCTAAATAACCAAAGCAATCCTGAGGAAAAAAGAATAAAGCTGGAGGTATCACACTCCCTGATTTCAAACAATATTTCAAAGCCATAGTAATCACAATAGCATGGTATTGACAGAAAAAGATACATAGATCAATGGAACAGAATTGACAGCCCAGAAATAAACCCATGCATATAGGGACAATTAATTTACAACAAAGAAGACAGTAAAGCATTTGTTAAAATTCAATTCCTGATTAAAATATTAACCTTAAGGATCTAGAAAAAAAGGGAAATTCCTTTGATAAAAGTCGTCTTTAAGAAACCTATAGCCGGGCTTCCCTGGTGGCGCAGTGGTTGAGAGTCTGCCTGCTGACGCAGGGGACGCGGGTTCGTGCCCCGGTTCGGGAAGATCCCACATGCCGCGGAGCGGCTGGGCCCATGAGCCATGGCCGCTGAGCCTGCGCGTCCGGAGCCTGTGCTCCGCAACGGGAGAGGCCGCAACAGTGAGAGGCCCGCGTACCACAAAAAAAAAAAAAAAAAAGAAACCTATAGCCAACACCCAATTTAACATAGAAACACACTAGATGGGTTCACATTAAATCAGAAATAAGACAAAGATGCACTCTACAAGTTTACTGTTCAATACTGTTCTAAAGATCTACGAGACAAAAAGGACGGGGAGTGGGGAACTATTAGAAATTTAAAGGTAAGACAGTTACTATTTGCATATAATGTGATTGTCTTATATATGTGTACTGTGTATACATAAAATGAATATATGTAATATATTCAAGAAAATCAACTGAAAAACAAATACAAGTAATAAAAGAATTCAGTAAGTGAGCTAGTTACAAAGTCAATATATGAAAATCAATAGCATTCAGAAAAATTTAAAAATCTAATGAACAAAAAGATCCCATCCCCAACAGCAACAAAAGTTACATGTCCAGGAATTAAACTAATATGGAATATGCAAGAAAATTCCAAAATTTTATTGAGTAATTTAAACAAAGCCTGAATAAATGGGGGTAAAATACCATGTACCAGGATAAAAAGACTGAAGATTATAAAGATGTAAATTCTTAAGATGTCAAATTGCTCTAGAAAGCAAATGCAACTCCAATCTAAATCATAATATAGAATGTTTTATGGAATCTGATAAGCTGATTCTAATTCATCTAGAAAATGTTAGAAAAGCCAGGATAATATGAAAAGCAAAACAAACAGTTGCCCTACAAAATATCAAAACATATAAAGCAAAAGTAGTTAAAAGTGTGTTGCTGACCCACTCCTATACACTGGATATTTGTGTCCTCCCAAAACTCTTAAGTTGAAATCTATTGTCCAATGTGATGCTATTTGGAGGTTTGGCCTTTGGGAGGTGATTAGGTCCTAAGGATGAAGCTCTCATGAATGGGATTAGTATCCTTATAAAAGAGACTCCAGAGAGCTCCCTTGCCTTCAATGCCATATGAGGACACAGCAAGAAGACAGCTGTCTATGAACCAGGAAGGGGCTGTCACCAGGTAACAAATATGCTAGCATTTTGATCCTAGGCTTCCCAGCCTCCAGAACTGTGAGAAATAAATAATATTGTTATAAGTCACCCAGTCTACTACTTTGTTATAGCAGCCCAAATGGACTAAGACACCCAGTGATAGATTATAGATCAATAGCATAAAACAGAGTCCAGAATAAGACTATAATAGGTGCCATTTCAAATCAAGTGAGAAAGGATGAAGAATTTAAAGAATGATATTGGGACAACAATAAATAAATAAATATTTATAAAACAACAACAAAAAAACCCATGAAATTATAAATCTAACTCATACATTAAAAGCCTTACCAGAACAACAACACTATAAAAGTTTTAAACTTATGTTGTTTTTCAACTTGCTTGAATCTAGGTTAGCAAAAGCCAGAGTAAGTTTCTGTTGTTTGCAACCAAAAGGACTTGACTCAGAACCCTTACCAGAATTTGGCATACTTTTTAAAAATTCATACAGAAAAAAAATACAATAAACAATAAGATAAGCAGCAATGAGAAAATATTAGCAATATGTAATCAAAGTATGAGTCCATATTATATTAAAAACTCCTATATATAAACAAAAAATACAAATAATACTGTAGAAAATTGGACAATATATATGAACAAGTAACTCACTGACAAAACATAAATATCTAATAAACATATGAAAAAAAGTTCAACCTCACTAGCAATAAAGAAACACAAATTAAATAACAATGAAGTAACATTTTTTCTGCTGAAGAAAAATGTGAAAATTTGAGAAAAATTAAGAAGACTCCAGTATTAACAAGATGTAAGGAAATGACCACTTTATAAACTATTGGCCAAATACAAATTAACCCTATCTTCTCAAAGGACAATTTGGTATAATGTCCACCAAAATTTTAAATTGGTATTTACTTTCTTTTCAGCAATTCCACTTCTAGGAATTTATCCTATGGAAAACATATGTACACAAGAATATAAATAAAACTACTATGTGTAATCATAAATACTGGAATAATCTAAATGTTGAAAAGAGAAATGGTTAAGTAAATTATAGCATATTCTTAGTAAGGAAGACTTTGCAGCAGTTAAGAACAAGATAGATCTATATGCATTAACATGGAACAATTTCCAGTATATAAAATTAAGTGGCAAAAGTCACAGACCAATATATTTATTATATTACTTATATTAAAAACGAGTCTATTAAAAAATAGTTTTAAAACTACATGGTATATATAAACATTACATATATTTAAAAGATATATCTATAATAAAGTTTAAGGCAAAATGAAGGATCTAGAAAGATATATACCAAACCATTAAAAGTGTTTTTTTATTTTTTTATCTCCAGTAAGAAGAAAGCAATCAGAAGGATAAAAAAGGACTTTCTTGCCTTTTCTTCTATATATCAATACTTCTTTTATTTCGTATGTTTATGTATTATTTATATAATATATTATTCAAGAAAGTGGGAGTAACACCAAACAAAAGAATCTGACAGGCAAAAACCCTCCAAATTTAAAATTTTTAACTAAATATTTTTAATTTTTCCACTCAAACATTATTAAATACTTTACTATTCAGACTTGAAATTCAAGAAAATATAACAAAATTTTCTTAGCAAAGGACTAAGAATTGGTATTTAATGTAATTATTCAAATTTGTAATAAAATTTAATAGGAGTACTTAATCCTAAGAGATTTAAGAAAGTTTCTACTTTATAAGGACACGATTTCATTATATTCATTAGTTCATAGTTTACTAACACAACTGTCGATATTTTCTTTTGTTTTTTCTTTTTTTTTTTTTTTGCGGTACGCGGGCCTCTCACTGTTGTGGCCGCTCCCATTGCGGAGCACAGGCTCCAGACGCGCAGGCTCAGCAGCCATGGCTCATGAGTCCAGCCGCTCTGCGGCATGTGGGATCTTCCCGGACCCGGGCACGAACCCGTGTCCCCTGCATCGGCAGGCAGACTCTCAACCACTGCCCAACTGTCGATATTTTAAATGGAGACATATTCATTCAAAGGAAAAGCCATGAAACAACAGCAAAAACCCTTTTGTAGAAGTGTTTGTATAAGCTCAGTGAGGTGTCTTTAGGCAGACTAACTTGCTGATTAGACTCAACATTAGGAAACCAATCTTTAATTTTATTCCAGTTTCACTGATTTAGAATCATGTGCCAATTTTAATGTTTTGGCCTCCTTTTCATAACATGAAAGCCTTATTCTATAAATCTAAATATTCAAACACATTTAAAAACAAATGTTAGATATCAAATCTACCAAAATTCACCTGATTTTTGATAGATAAACTTTCCTAATGATAAAATTAAGATATATATCTGGGGAAAAGTTAAATCAACCCATCACAACTTATAGTTACTGAATCAATTGGTTTCTAATTATTGATAGAAATATACACCTCAAAGGAATGCTCAAATTATATTTAAGAAGTATATTTAGTAATCAGTAATAATAAACAAACTCAAATGTATTAAGGTATAAATTATACTTGATGCAGAGAAATTCTAGAAAAACAAAGTCAAGTCTATACTCTGTACTTTTCTTCCAAACTAAATAAATGACAGAAAAGAATAACATATTCTAACCTTTCCATTTTGGATTCACTGTCAATTTTGTACTGTTCAAAATCTTGGCTAAGAGTCTGTAGTGTTTCTTGAAGGCTCTTTTCACGTTCTACACTTCCTTGATAAAATTTCATCTCTTTTTCCATCGCTTTCACTTTTTCTTCCATAGCCTTAAACTCATGAAGAATTAGATAGCTGACTCCACAGTACTTACAAACTTTTTCTTCTGGAGACATCTAGAAAATAGAACAGACATTTACTGAAATGATAGTTTTTAAATTCTAAAACATAACGTTCAACTGAAGATGTTATTGTAACCATGTTGGTTAAATGAAGTAAATGTATACTGTGCTATGCCATGGAGTAATACTTGCAACACTGCATACATCTGGATAAAATTTTAAAAACTGGCATGATATCAACTGACACAAAATCTTGGAATTAGAATAGGGATGTTCAGAGTAATAATTTCTCCATGGTATCTCTAAGAAAGATTTACTCTTGAAATATTTTCCATAAAATAAAACTAAAAATGATGAAAACATCTTTACAATTCTTATTTTAAGATGATTTTTCCACGATGTGGGAATAAATCACTGGCCTTTCACTTCCAACTGCACTGTGATCCTGGAGATGCTTCTTAGCTTCTTCAGATCTCATTTCCCTCATTTATAAAATTATGGCATTGGGCCAAATGAACTCTAAGTTCCTGTTCAGTTTTTTAACATTTTAAGATTTTTATAGGATTTAACATTCTGTCATAAAACCAGATATAGGAGAAACACTTTGAACCTAATCTCTTCTGCCTAAATCAGATAGTACTTTTCCCCTCAGGTAGGTATGATTATACCTATTTTACACTTAAGGAAACGGGGACTACTGAAGTTAGATAACCAGCTGCTAAGTAGAGAAGTCGGCATTAAACCCAAGTCTATTTTAAAATCAGCACTTATGCCTGTAACCATTTGTATCATATTTATCTACCATATGAATGTCAGCTAAATCCTCTTACTTCCTTCAGATAAAATGCTTATATATATTTGGCCAGATAGGGGCAGTGAAAAATGGAATTTTAGCAAAGTCAAGAGAAAGGTAATTCTTTTTTCTGTCTCAAGTATACAAATATTCTTCAAGTGGCCTCTACTTGTCTCGCTATTCACCAAAGACAGGACAAAGTTTTGTTAAATATTTGCTCCAGGGCACTAAAACTCTTAGATTATACAAGGAATGCTTACTCTTAATGCAACCTCCCTTAGGACTGTAGAAACTGCTCCTATAACTGAGTGATGCTACCATATCTGCCTATCAATGCCATCCACCATCTGTGCCTATCCATGCCATTATACAAGAGACGGTTGAAACAAACTAATAATAATTTTTGAGAGGGCAGACAGTGGAAGCAAGAAGAAGTACAATCCTGCAACCTGTGGAACAAAAACCACATTCACAGAAAGATACACAAGATGGAAAGGCAGAGGGATATGTACCACATGAAGGAACAAAATAAAACCCCAAAAAACAACTAAATGAAGTGGAGATAGGCAACCTTCCAGAAAAAGAATTCAGAACAATGATAGTGAAAATGATTAAAAAAAAAAAAAACCTCGGGAAAAGAGTGGAGGCAAAGATCAAGAATATGCAAGAAATGATTAAGAAAGAGCTAGAAGAATTAAAGAACAAACATCTAGAAGAATTAAAGAACAAACAAACAGAGATAAACAATACAATAACTGAAATGAAAAATACACGAGAAGGAATCAATAGCAGAATAACTGAGGCATAAGCACAGATAAGTGACCTGGAAGACAGAATGGTGGAATTCACTGCTGTGGAACAGAATAAAGAAAAAAGAATGAAAAGAAATAAAGACAGCCTAAGAGATCTCTGGGACAACATTAAACGTAACAACATTTGCATTATAGGGGTCCCAGAAGGAGAAGAGAGAGAGAAAGGACCCAAGAAAATATTTGAAGAGATTATAGTCTAAAACTTCCCTAACATGGGAAAGGAAATAGCCACCCAAGTCCAGTAAGTGCAGAGAGTCCCAGGCAGGATAAACCCAAGGAGAAACACGCTGAGACACACAGTAATCAAACTGACAAAAATTAAACACAAAGAAAAATTACTGAAAGCAACAAGGGAAAAATGACAAATAACATACAAGGGAACTCCCATAAGGTTAACAGCTGATTTCTCAGCAGAAACTCTCCAAGCCAGAAGGGTGTGGCATGATATATTTAAACGGATGAAAGGGAAGAACCTATAACCAACATTATTCTACTCAGCAAGGATCCAATTCAGATTCTACAGAGAAATCAAAAGCTTTACAGACAAGTAAAAGCTAAGAGAATTCAGCACCACCAAACCAGCTCTACAACAAATGCTAAAGGAACTTCTCTATGTGGGAAACACAAGAAAAGAAAAGGACCTACAAAAACAAACCCAAACCAATTAAGAAAATGGTAATAGGAACATACATACCAATAATTACCTTAAACGTGAATGGATTAAATGCTCCAATCAAAAGACACAGGCTTGCTGAATGGATACAAAAACAAGATCGATATAAATGCTGTCTAGAAGAGACCCACTTCAGACCTAGGGACACATACAGACTGAAAGTGAGGGGATGGAAAAAGACATTCCATGCGAATGGAAATCAAAAGAAAGCTGGAGTAGCAATACTCATCAGGTAAAATAGACTTTAAAATAAAGAATGTTATAAGAGACAAGGAAGGACACTACATAATGATCAATGGATCAATCCAAGAAGAAGATATAACAATTATAAATATATATGCACCCAAGATAGGAGCACCTCAATACATAAGGCAACTGCTAACAGCTAAAACAGGGGAAATCAACAGTACCACAATAATAGTGGGGGACTTTAATACCTTACTTACACCAATGGACAGATCATCCAAACAGAAAATTAATAAGGAAACACAAGCTTTAAATGACACAATAGACCAGATAGATTTTATTGATATTTATAGGACATTCCATCCAAAAACAGCAGATTACACTTTTTTCTGAAGTGCACACAGAACATTCTCCAGGATAGATCACATCTTGGTCACAAATCAAGCCTCAGTAAATTTAAGAAAATGGAAATCATATCAAGCATCTTTTGTGACCACAATGCTATGAGATTAGAAATCAATTACAGGGAAAAACAACATTAAAAAACACAGACACATGAAGGCTAAACAATATGTTACTAAATAACCAAGAGATGACTGAAGAAATCAAAGAGGAAATCAAAAAATATCTAGAGACAAATGACAATGAAAACACAACGATCCAAAACCTATGGGATGCAGCAAAAGCAGTTTTAAGAGGCAAGTTGACAGCAATACAAGCCTACCTCAAGGAACAAGAAAAATCTCAAATAAACAATCTAACCTTACACCTAAAGGAACTAGAGGAAGAAGAACAAACAAAACCCAAAGTTAGTAGCAGGAAAGAAATCATAAAGATCAGAGCAGAAATAAATGAAATAGAAACAAAGAAAACAATAGCAAAGATCAATAAAACTAAAAGCTGGTTCTTTGAGAAGATACACAAAATTGATAAACCTTTAGCCAGACTCATCAAGAAAAAGAGGGAGAAGACTCAAATCAATAAAACTAGAAAAGAAAAAGGAGAAGTTACAATGGACACCGCAGAAATACAAAGCATCATAAGAGACTACTACAAGCAAGTCTATGCCAATAAAATGTATAACCTGGAAGAAATGGACAAATTCTTAGGAAGGTATAACCTTCCAAGACAGAACCAGGAAGAAATATAAAATATGAACACACCAATCATAAGTAATGAAATTGAAACTGTGATTAAAAATCTTCCAACAAACAAAGTCCAGGACCTGATGGCTTCACAGGTGAATTCTATCAAACATTTAGAGAAAATCTAAGACTCATTCTTCTCAAACTCTTCCTTAAAATTGCAGAGGAAGAAACACTCCCAAACTCATTCTATGAGGCCACCATCATCCTGATACCAAAACCAGAAAAAGATACTACAAAAAGAGAAAATTACAGACCAACATCACTGATGAATATAGATGCAAACATCCTCAACAGAATACTAGCAAACAGAATCCAACAACACATTAAAAGGATGATACACCATGATCAAGTGGGATGTATCCCAGGGATGCAAGGATTCCTCAACATATGCAAATCAATCAATGTGATATACCAAATTAACAAACAGAAGAAGAAAAACCATATGATCATCTCAATAGATGCAGAAAAAGCTTTTGACAAAATTCAACACTCATTTATGATAAAAACTCTCCAGAAAGTAGGCATAGAGGGAACCTACCTCAACATAATAAAGGCCATATATGACAAACCCACAGCAAACATCACTCTCAATGATGGAAAAACTGAAAGCATTTCCTCTAAAATCAGGAACAAGACAAGGAGGTCCACTCTTGCCACTATTATTCAACATAGTTTTGGAAGTCCTAGCCACAGCAGAGAAGAAAAAGAAATAAAAGGAATACAAATTGGAAAATTGGAAAAGAAGAAGTAAAACTGTCACTGTTTGCAGATGACATGATACTATACATAGAAAATCCTAAGATGCCACAGAAAACTACTAGAGCTAATCAACGAATTTGGTAAAGTAGCAGGATACAAAATTAATGCACAGAAATCTCTTGCATTCCTATACACTAATGATGAAAAATCTGAAAGAGAAATTAAGGAAACACTCCCATTTACCACTGCAACAAAAAGAATAAAAAACCTAGGAATAAACCTACCTAGGGAGACAGAAGACCTATATGCAGAAAACTATAAGATACTGATGAAAGAAATTAAAGATGATACAAACAGATGGAGAGATATACCATGTTCTTGGATTGGAAGAACCAATATTGTCAAAATGACTATACTACCCAAAGCAATCTACAGATTCAATGCGATCCCTATCAAATTACCAATGGCATTTTTTTACAGAACTAGAACAAAAAATCTTAAAATTTGTATGGAGACACAGAAGACCCCAAATAGCCAAAGCAGCCTTGATGGAAAAACACAGAGCTGGAGGAATCATGCTCCCGGACTTCAAACTATACTACAAAGCTACAGTAATCAAGACAGTATGGTAATGGCACAAAAACAGAAATATAGATCAATGGAACAGGATAGAAAGCTCAGAGATAAACCCACACACCTATGGTCACCTAATCTATGACAAAGGAGGCAAAGATATACAATGG